AGGAAGTGATCGCAGCCCTTTGCCATTCCCCACTATAACTTCCCAACCCATACGGGCACTCAGACCCCAGGAATAAACTTTCCTGAGGTTGAATACGGCTGCCAGGGAGGGAAAAGCCATGCAGATCAGCAGCTATCAGCATTTCCCACAGGTTAATCTTGGGATCCAATGCATTTTCTATGGATCCAGTGCACTTTCTGTGGAGGCCCAGGTCACTGTAGTTGCCAGGTCGGCCTTTTTCTATCTCTGGCAGATCAGGCAATTACCCGCCCCCCCCCCCCCCCCGACGGACTTAGCTACAGTGACCAATGCAATGGTCACATCCAGGCTTGATTACTGTAACTCACTTTATGTGGGCTTGCCCTTGAGACTGATTCGGAAACTACAAGTAGTCCAGAATGCGTTGGCACGCCTGCTGACGGCATCGCCTGTGCGAGCATGCATTCAGCCGGTATTGTGCCACTTATTTATTTATTTATTTATTTTTGGGATTTATATCCCGCCCTACCTGTACAGCCCAGGGCGGCAAACAAGCGGCAATTGCCGAGAATAAAACATAAGTTACATTAAAACCTCAATAAATACAACTAAAATGGTGCTCAACAATTCATTTCCGAAATTCATTTAAAATTCAGTTTAAACATTCAAGATGGACGATATCCCTCACTGGCGGCCGACGATAGAGAACGCAGGAGCGCCAGAGTAATGTTCCTCAGTCTGGGCAACGTCTACTCCCGCCCCCCAAGGCCCGGTAGATGGTAAAGCAGCCACGATGGTGGTCTAGTGGCGGCGGCGGCGGCTCCTACTCGAAAGCCTGGCGGAAGAGCTCCGTCTTGCAGGCCCTGCGGAACTGTACAAGGTCCTGCAGGGCCCGGATCTCCACCGGGAGCTCGTTCCACCAGGTAGGAGCCGCCACCGAAAAAGCCCTGGCCTTGGTTTGGGTGAGCTTGATATCCCGGGGACCTGGAACCTCTAGGAGGTCCAGGCTCCCCGATCGCAGCGCTCTTGGGGGAACATACGGGAAGAGGCGGTCCCTCAGGTAGGCTGGACCCTGGCCATTCAGGGCTTTAAAGGTAAGAACCAGCACTTTGAAACGAATCCGGTATGCTATAGGCAGCCAGTGCAGCGCTTGCAGCACCGGCCGGATGTGGTCCCTCCTCGAGAGGCCCATCAACAGCCTAGCTGCAGCATTCTGCACTAGCTGCAGCTTCCGGATTTGCACCAAAGGCAGCCCCAAGTAGAGAGCATTACAGTAGTCTAGCCTCGAGGTGACCGTCGCATGGATCACAGTGGCCAGGTCCTCACGGCTGAGATAGGGGACCAACTGCCGGGCCAGCCGTAGATGGTAAAAGGCTGACCTAGCAGTGGCTGCCACCTGGGCCTCCATTGTCAATGAAGAGTCCAGGAGCACTCCTAAACTCCTAACCTCCCGCACAGGCACCAAAGGCACCCCGCCGAAGGTCAGGAGAAGGAGCCCCAACTCCCGGCCGGTCCGACACAGGCCCAGGACCTCCGTCTTTACCGGGTTTAATTTCAACCGACTCAGCCTGAGCCAACCAGCCACGGCTTGTAACGCCTGAGAAAGGTCATCGGGACCAGAGTCTGAGTGGCCGTCCAACATCAGATAGAGCTGGGTGTCATCAGCATACTGATGACACCCAAGCCCATACCTCCGGACAATCTGGGCGAGGGGGCGCATGTAGATGTTAAATAACATAGGGGACAATACGGCTCCCTGGGGCACCCCACATTCAAGGGGGTGCCTTCGGGACCGCTGATTCCCCATTGCCACCCTCTGTCCCCGACCTTGGAGAAAGGAGACTAGCCATTGAAGGGCAAGCCCCCTTATCCCCACGTCGGCGAGGCGGCGGGCCAGCAACTGGTGGTCAACCATATCGAACGCAGCCGACAGGTCCAACAACACCAGCGCAGCCACGCCGCCACGATCCAGATGCCTTCGGAGGTCGTCTGTCAGCGCGACCAGAACAGTCTCCATCCCATGACCCGGGCGGAAGCCGGACTGGAAGGGATCGAGGATGGAGGCCTCATCCAGGTACCTCTGCAACTGTGCTGCCACCGCTCTCTCTATAAGTTTGCCCAAATAGGGCAAATTGGAAACCGGCCGATAGTTGGTCAATTCGGCCGGATCCAGAGATGGTTTTTTTAAGAGAGGGCGGACCATCGCTTCCTTGAGTGCTCCGGGCTACCAGTTGAGTACTGGATCTGTTTCAAGGTGTTGGTGTTAGCCTTCAAAGCCTTGCGTGGCCTGGGGCCGACATATCTGAAGGAGCTCCTCTTCCCATGTGTGGCCCAAAGAGCCTTGCCCTCACAAGAACAACATTTACTGGTTACCCCCTGGCCCAGAAGACATCCGCTAAGCCTCAACCAGGGCCAGGGCTTTCTCCGCCTGGTGGAATCAGCTCCCACTGGAGATCAGGGCCGTGCGGGACCTTCTATCATTCCACAGGGCCTGCAAAACGGAGCTGTTCCGCCAGGTCTTCGGTTGAAGTAGCGGGTGTCTATCTTAGTTGGCCTCCCTGCTGTGTCTCCCAATCGACTGAAAGGGCCCATTTGATTCAACCTTGTGGCTCTAGCAGATTTATATGAAATTCTCACTACCTGTATGAATTTTTGTTGTTTAAATTGATTTTAATGTAATTTTATTGTAACAAGTCTTGGACTTGGCTTCTTGTGATCTGCCCTGAGCCTGCTTTGGGGAGGGTGGAAAAAAATCAAATAAATAAGTAGATAAATAGCCCCATGTGCACAGATTCTTTAAGGAACTTCTTGGCTTATGTACATTCCATAAGTTCTCCACCAGGAGCTTTGGTTTGTTGGGTTCTTTTTAGTCTTCCGTTTGAGCGTCTGACTACCCGCTGCTGGAAAGAACCAACACTTAAGACCAGCTCTTCATCTAGATTAATTTGGTACAGAGAGTTTCTGAATGGAATGCCCTGTCTGTGCGCACTGGACTCCTCAACAGTTACTAGGAATAAAAACAAAAAAATTGTTACCTGTTTATTTCTTGGAACGTAGGGCTAACCCCATGATACATCTTACCAGGCTCCTGGGTGGTCATGCGATCTCTGCCAAGATTATTTGTCAAGAGTTTTGGTCTTCCAAATGATGGTATGTTTTGCATGCTGTTCAGGAGTTGGGTGTTGGTTTGTTATTGTTTTTTACTTTTCCATTGCAAAACATTTCCCCCCCCTCACCTTTCTTGGAACTCTGGAGGTTCCACATCCCATGATTCATTGCTAACCATCTAAAGGAAGTTGCAGAAGCCATTATTTTGAAGGGGACACACAGACAACGAGATCGTCTCCATTCTTTCATATAGTTTGGGATCACATACATGAACACACATGAAGCTGCCTTCTACTGAATCAGACCTTCGGTCCATCAAAATCATTCTCATCTACTCTGACTAGCCGCAGCTCTCCAGGGTCTCAGGCGGAGGTCTTTCACACCACCTTCTACCAGTTCCTTCTAAGAGGAGATGCAGGGGATTGAGCCTTATACCTTCTTCGTGCCAAGAAGGTTTCATCCCCTTTCCAATCAGAACTTTACGGCCAACAGATTCCAAAACCCTCATTGCCAGGAGCATCATGCAAATGTTTTAATTGCCATGGGCTACAAAGAAGTCATGAAATCATTGCGGATTTCCTGAGGCTGATTCCCAAGACAGCAAGCTATCAACAAAACCTGCCAAACAGTAGTTCTTAAATGTGCACAAATATGTCACGTGAATCAGAAATCTTCCCGTGATGTGTGTATCATCGAGACTAGACCTTAGTGGACTTTACAGGGCCATCTGAAGAAAAGTTACACCATTCCCAAGCCCATTGACTTCAACAGACCCAGAATGGTTTAACTGTGCTTAGGATGGTGCTCTTAAATCTAATCATACTGTAAATAGCTTTACAGTTACACCAGAAAATCGTCGACCGAGGGGCCGGTCTCACATTTTTAGGTCAGCCGTTCCACAATGCCAGTTCCACCATTTTCAAAAAGCCCACGTGTTAGTGCCCGAAGTCTTGAATTTGCCTTCAGCTTGGAACCAGTAGTTGACTGGCAGAGAATAACTGTCTCTGGGGAGTATACGGGGAGAGACTGTCTTGCAGATACAAGGGCGCCAGGCCGTGAAAAGCTTTAGAGTTAAGAACCAGTTCCTTGAATTGTGTTTGGAAACAGATCGATAGCCATTGCGATGTTTGCAAAATAGGCATATTTTTACAGAGTCTGGCCAGCAACGGACCCACAGTGTTTTGCATCAGCTGAAGTTCCTGCACAGTCTTCAAGGGTAGCCCCATGTACAGCATGTTGCAGTAATCTAGTCTCAAAGTTACCGCAGCATGGCTCAGCACGACTGGGTCAACTGAGTAAAAATATTTTAATTTACAAACCAAATGGAAATGGGGGGGAATGCATTCTTGGCTGCTTTGCTTTCCTGGTGTCTCCAACGCGACTCCCCGGCTCCTTGACTGAATCCAGCAACGATAAATTTGACTCTGTCGAAAGCTGACTCTGTCGAAAAATCAGCCCTCCAGACCAATGTCTCCATCTTTGACACAGTTACCTCCATATGTCGATAGACATCCTCTCCTCCTCCTCCCTTTAAAAGAGGGCTTGCTGTGTGGAACTAAAGTAATTTACCTCCTCTTTAGCGTGTCCCCCCCCATCTAAGGATAATAGCCAGGAGTAAACAGCAGAATTGCATGTGTTGGAAGATGATGAAACTGTTTAATTTGGCCGGATCGCTGAGAATGTGCCATCCTTTCTCCCCTTAGTTGCAACATAAGTTCTAAAAGCTTTCAGACTCTCAGAAGTCCTTGCGGCCAGATCTGTTTATATTCCAGGAGCCGTGGATGTGGATGTTGCGTAGAGCTGAGAGCTGCAAAACCTAATAAACAGACCTAGCACAAATTTCTTTTTTCCCCACAGTGCCAGGTTGGATTTCTCCGCTGTTTCCCATCGGCGGCTGCAGACTCCAGTGGGACATGGCTTCTTTGGGGTTAACCCTGCTCAGCCCATCCGAGACGTTTGCGCTTCTTGGCTTGGTGGTCTTAGCCATCCTCTGGTATCTGAAGATCTCCGGACGACCCTCTCTGAACCTGCCTCCCGGCCCTCCTCCGCTCCCGCTGATTGGCAACCTGCACTTGATAAATATTAAGCGGCAAGATAAATCATTTATGAAGGTAAGATTCTCCCCCTCCTTACTTTGATTTCCTTTCAAAGCTTTTCGGTACAAAGTGCCCCCAGAGTTCAAATGTAATTTTTAATTTCTCGGGTATTGCGTTGCAGCAGAGCTTTTCAGAAGGTGAGCTGCTGTAGATTTTCCAGGTTGTCTACGGGCCATAGACTGAATGACCCTGCCTGATCCGGGGAAGGGCTGTGGCTCAGTGGTTGAGCATTTAACTGGAGATACGGAGGGTCAGTCCTCCAGTATCTCCAGTTTAAAGGACCAGGAGATAAGTTTACCGGACACCCTGAAGAGCCACCGCTGGTTGGAGCAGACGAGTCTGACGTTGATAGACCCTCCTCGGGTTTGATTGGTAGAAAGCAGGTTTTTGTGTTCGTGTCCGTAGGACTGCACCTTTAAAGATGTGCTGGCATCCCATCCGGTACCCGCACTACCTTGTTGCCGATTTTAAAAGTTGCACTCCCACCAGATGTGCATAAAGTTGGCATTGGTAGCCCCACATACCCAACAATCCCCATTAGCCCCTTGGTAAATTTTTGCTAATTTATAGGGAGCTGGGTACCACTGGTATAGCATTTTTATTAAATAGTGAGGGCTATAAAGAGGACCAAGTTCAGATTTCACCAGCAAAGGTTTCTTCTGGCCCAGGGTCACCCAGACAGCTTCACTGCTGACCCAACCGTAGTCTGAAGTCATCCATTAACTTTGCCACACCAGCTTTTCTTAAGCACCTAACTTACACTTCAGGTGGGCAGCTGCGTTGGGCAGAAGAGCCGGATTCGAGTTCAGTAGCACCTTAGAGACCCACAAGATTTTCAGGAAGCTTTTGAGAGTCCAAGCTTGCTTTGTCAGGATCTGTTGGTCTCTAGGACACAACTGGACTTGAATATAGCTATCCTACGTACATAAGTGCCATCCAAGTAAGGAGATTTCCAGGCAAGGGAGAAGCAGAGGTGGTGGGCCATCTACCTTCCTCTGCAGAGTCTTCCTTGGTGGTCTCCCTTCTAAGTACCAACCCCACTTAGCTTCCAAGATCTGATCAGAGGTCTATAGCAAACCCAGCAAGGGGCTTTCCAGGCAAGGGAGAAGCAGAGGTGGTTGGCCATCGCCTTCCTCTGCAGAATCTTCCTTGGTGGTCTCCCATCCAACTACCGACCCTGCTTGACTTCCAAGATTTGATGAGAGACTTATGGCGTCCCTAGCAAGGAGCTTTCAAGGCAAGGGAGAGGCAGAGGTGGTTGGCCATTTGCCTTCCTCTGCAGAGTCTTCCTGGGTGGTCTCCCATCCAAGGACCGACCCTGCTTAGCTTCCGAGATCTGATGAGATTATACCATGCCTCCTACACTCCCACGTGTCTATCACACGTTTACAATTTGAGACATTACTTTTAAAATCAGAAGCAGCAGAATTCTGGAATGTGATTGCTACAGTCAGGGGTCATTTCCTGCGTGAACGCACAGGAGCGGAGCTCTGGCAGTAAGGAGCCCAGGGGATGGGCACATGCAACAAGCCCCGCCCCCTGCTCCCAGCAGCCCTCAGTCGGGCCACGAGGAGCAAGAAGCAGCCAGGTAAGTTGCAGAGCCAGCACTCAGCCTGCCTTCAGGTACAAGGTCTCCCTCCTCTGTGAGGACAGATCTACGCGTTCCCCCCCCAATAGCTATCAATCCAAAACAGTCCAGTGGCACCTTTAAGATGAAGTTTTATTCAGGTGCAAGCTCTCCCTCCTCTGTGAGGGCAGATCTGCGTGTTCCTCCGCCCCTTTCCCCCCCCCCCCCCCAATAGCTAGCAATCCAAAACAGTCCAGTGGAGCCTGAGCGGTGGGTGTTGCCTTCTGACACACTTCCGGTGATGTCACCCCCGGTTGTCTCACGGCTGAGCGGGGTTCTTGAACCCAGGTCCCCTTCATCCTGCCACGAGGATGTCGCTTCTGTCATGAAACTATCGTTTCTCTTCCAGCTTTCCGAAAAATACGGCCCAGTCTTCACGGTCCATTTGGGTTTCCAGAAGGCCGTGGTGCTGGCGGGCTACAAGGCAGTCAAAGAAGCACTCCTGAGCAACGCCGACGAATTTGTGGACAGGCCTCCCGTCCCGATATTTTATCGGATCCAGCAGGGGAAGGGTAATAGCACTGGGGACAGTTTGTTCTTAATATTCTTTCTATATTCAGTTGGGCCGCAGCGGTGAAGCAGGGAGAAGTGGCCATTTCTGGCGATACAATTCGGGTGGCATTAAAGCCAGCAATTGTTTGCTTTGTTTCTTAAACCTCCCTTTGGACTGAGAGGGATCTCTCTTTCTGGTTTTGTTTGGTTTGGGTTGGGGTTTTTTTGTATTTCGTGTGTGTGTATGTACAGTAGTAGTAGTAGTAGTAGAATTTTATTGTGTGTGTATCTAAGTGCACCGGGAAGTTATGGTGACCTCTTGTGACTGACCCCTACTGGGGGATATTCAGAGGGGGGGCTGAGTAAAGCCTTCCCCCGCCTCCTGCCTCTGGTATTCCAATGAGGTTTCCCATTGTCAGGGTCGTTAGCCAGGTCACCCCACACAAGGCTTCATAAGAAGATAAGTGTTTATTTGATGGATCCAGTACTAATGATCACATATACAGCATGTGTCAGGAATACCTTACATTATAATGGGGCCTGACTTATAGTGAAATCAAACCCCCCCACCATGAGTCAAAGACAATGGATATGTTTCGCACGCACGGGCTGAAGCTAGCAAGCGAGTGCCAAAGCGTAAAAGCCGTTAGCTTTCCCAGATGAGTTAATTGCAGCTGGGAACATCAACAAGGTCAAGCCAGAGATACCACGCAGAAGCTGGACAGGGATGAGCTGGGATCAAGGAGGAGGTGGAACCCTCCACATTCCAGATCAATGACAGGGCTACCTGACAACCATCCAGGTACCTGCCAGAGTCGACCCTGCTTAGCTTCCGAGATCTGACGAGATCCGGCTTCCCTGGGCTATCCAGGTCAGGGTGGCTGAGAGTGATACCTTGAGGGATACTCCTCCCAAGAGGATTCTGGGCCTCGTGTATCAGATGCAGAATTCCCAGAAGGGCTGACCCTCAGCAGGGGTCACCAACGTTTTTGAGCCTACGGGCGCCTTTGGGACTCTGACCTGGCATGGCGAGCGCAGCCACAAACCAGAGATAACACGCGTAGCAGCAAAACGTATCTGACTAAAGTTGACAACCTTCCGGACGCCACCCAGGATTATAACCAGTGTTCCCTCTAAGCTGAGTCAGTGTGAGCTAGCTCACAGTTTTATAGCCTCCGGCTCACACATTTTTTGTCTCAGCTCGGGAAGGATGGCTCCAAGTCCAGAGCAAACTCACATATGCAGCAGCCAAATCGCTCACTCACAACTTTAATGCCAGTAGCTCACAAAGTAGAATTTTTGCTCACAGGACTCCACAGCTTAGAGGGAGCATTGGTTAAAACCAGGGGTCATTTCCTGCGGGAGCGCACAGGAGCGGAGCTCTGGCAGTTAAGAGCCCAGGGGGCGGGCACATGCAACAAGCCTCACCCCCTGCTCCCAGCATGCCTCAGTCAGAGCAAGAAGCAGCCAGGTAAGCTGCAGAGCCCCCCCCCCCGGTCCAAAACAATCCATTGGCACCTTTAAGACCAAGTTTTATTCAGGTACAAGCTACCCCCCCTCTGCGAGGACAGATCTGCACGTTCCCCCCCCCCCAAATAGCTAGCAATCCAAAAGAGTCCAGTGGAGCCTGAGCAGTGGGTGTTGCCTTCTGATACACTTCCGGTGATGTCAGGGGGTGGGGCATATGCAAATAAGTCACGCTAATGAACTCCTGCACCTCTTTTTCTATGAAATGACCCCTGATTATAACTGTTCTGCAGACTACAGAGATCATTTCCCCCGGAGAAAAACGGCTGCTTTGGAGTGGGGAACTCTAGTGCATTATAGCGACCGAGGTCCCTCCAAGCCCGAAACCCTGCCCTCCTGGGGCTCCCAAATCTCCTGGAATTTCCTAACCCAGCGCTGGTAACCCTAAGGCCCAACCCACCATTATCAGTAACCGGGCTGCCGCGTTTTGGACCCACTGTGCGGTCTTCAAGGGCAGCCCCGCGCAGGGGGGGAAATGCAGTCATCAAGACGGAGCACGGATGATTGACAGCGGTCAGTGCCCCCTTTGAAAGAAGGCCGATGTATCACCATGTCTTCCCCAGGGGTGTTCTTCTCTTCCGGGGAACTGTGGAGAACCACGCGCCGATTCACCATGTCAAGCCTGCGGGACCTCGGGATGGGGAAGAAACTGATGGAGGGACGGATGCTGGAGGAACTCCATTACCTCATTGAGCTGGTCAAGTCCTTTAAAGGTGATCCGTGTCCCTCCTGCCGCTTTCCTGGGGCAGCCGCCTACCCAAATTCCCCCACGACACACACATTCATGTTTCCATTCCTTGTTCTTTTCCAGGCCAGCCTTTTAAGTTGAGGTCCTTCAACACGGCTCCCACAAACATCACCTTCACCCTGTTGTTTGGGGACAGGTTTGATTATGCCGACTCGACTTTCGTCACTCTGCTCAGGCTGATAGACGAAGTCATGATCCTGCTGGGATCCCCGTACTTACACGTAAGTAGCCTTGTCTGTCTGTTTCAGCGGGGGAAGGGGAAGGTCATTCTGCTGTTTGAGAGAGCCAGTTTGGTGTAGTGGTTAAGTGCACAGACTCTAATCTGGGGAAACCGGGTTTGATTCCCCACTCCTCCACTTGCAGCTGCTGGATGACCTCGGGCAAGCCACAGTTCTGTCAGAGCTGTCCTTGAAAGAGCAGTTTCTGTCAAGAGCTCTCTCTGCCCCACCTACCTCACAGGGTGTCTGTTGTGGGGAAGGGAAAGGAGTTTGTAAGCCCCGCTGAGACTCCGAGTGAGGGCGGGGTATAAATCCAATCTCCTCCTCCTCCTCTTCTTCTTCTATTTGTGTCTGCTGGGTCCCGGGTGTGGGGTTTGGAGACTCGACATCTTGGCTGCTGTTTCGGCGAGGGCAAGAAAGAGCCACGCTTGACTAACAGATCTGAGTCCAGTAGCCCCTTAGAAACCAACGAGATTTCCTGGTCAGCAGCTTTCAAGAGTCAAAGCGCCCTTCGTTGTGGTTAGTGTCAGAATAGTATCTGGGGGAATGCTACGAGGGTCTAGCTACGGCAGATAAAATAATACCAAAAGAAGTATTTATTATATGGTGTACACAATAGTAAAACTAAAAACAGAGGGCCTGAATACCAGGCTGCATTAAGAGTCAGAACAAGATTTACATAAGCTGTCATGATTTTTTATACGAAGTTGATGAACACGTCACATGACCAACACAAGACCAGACACATTTCGGCCTCAAGGGCCTTTCTCAGTGGTCAATGATGCACACTTTTGCAAAAGATAACCTATGCATCCAGAAACTACTATATATCAATCCTGACCAGGTGTTGTTATCTCATATATCAGGTATGTCCAACAGGTAGATCGTGACCTACCAGTAGATCACAGACGGGTCAGGGGTAGATCACCATCCCTACTTGGTCTCCTGGTTTGCTGTACAGGTGTTTGGGGTTTTTTTGATGATTGTTTGGTGGTATTTGATTATTGGTGCCAGTATGATGAATTCTTATTTTTACTTTTAGAACTGCATGGGGGTGGGGGGTTGGAACCCAACTTTAGTGGGTTAAAATCTAATTTGAAACTAATTTGAAACTTTATTTTCATGGTGGTAAATCACCGGCACTTTTGGCCGGAAAAAATAGATCACTACCTGTTTGAAGTTAGACATGCCTGTCACATATCATGTGGTATGATGTACGTTTACAAAGCAGGCCCTGGGCCCCCTCACATGGTAACCGCTCTCACACAAAACTCTTCATCAATGTTGTAACCTGGTGTCAGTTTTCCAGTGTTTCTGGATGGGTGTCATCAACCAGCAATTGAAATTGATGTCCATTGGCTTGTGGTTAGTGTCAAGCTAGGATCTGAGAGACCCAGATTCAAATCCCCTCGCTCTGTCACGGAAACTTGCTTCGCCTGATCTACCTCGCAGGGCTGGCGGTTGTTGTGAGGATGAGATAGAGGAGGGAAGAATGGTGTGGGAAGTCGCTCAGTGTCCCCGTTGGGATAGAAATAGCTAAAGGAACAAATAAGATGGCCCTCCAGTTATTCTGGTACCGTACGGGGCTTGCAGTTGTTGACTTCTGGCCTGCACACGCCAAATGCTCTCTGTCCTTCAGATTTTAATGCGGCCTGGTGGAGAAAAGCCATTTGAGAAACCGAAAAAGCCACGCTAAGAAGAATAAGAAGAGGAGATTCAATTTATACCCTGCCCTTCCCATGGAGTCTCAGAGCGGCTTACAATCCCCTTCCTCTCCCCCTCCCCACAACAGACACACTGTGAGGTAGGTGGGGCTGAGAGATCTCTTCCGAGGACTGCTCTTGAGAGAACAGCGCTGAGAGAACTTGTGACTGACCCAAGGTCACACCAGCAGCTGCAAGCGGAGGTGTGGGGAATCAAACCCAGTTCTCCCAGATAAGAGTCCGCGCTCTTAACCACCACACCAAACTGGCAAAGCGGACCTTCCTACCCTAACAGGAAGCTGGATCCGTCCCACGCCTTGGAGAACTGTTCTGCTCCTCGTTTTAAGCTTGAAGCCGAAAGAAGCAGAGCCGGCCCCAGCCTCCCCCACCAGGTTCTGCGCAAGCAATTCCTGTCTCCAATGATGGGTTTTCCCCAAAAGGCTTTGCTGCCCGCCCACTCTGAGCCTGCGTACGGGATCCCAGCTGCACATTCAAATTAAACCCAAATGTTGCAGGGCACAGTGGGGGGTTGTGTGTGTGTGTGGAAGGTCTACTGCCAGGATCAGCTGCCTTCTTGACTCCATGAAATGATGTTTCCAGATTGCTTCAGAGTTTCTGTCCAGTCCCACAGGCGTGGTGCCTCATCTGCCATTTCTGGAAAAGAGTCCTGAGGATCAGGCCTCGCGGGGAGAGCCCGTGTGGTGCAGAAGATGGAGTGGAGGAGCATGACCCTGGGCGAGCCAGGTTCGAATCCTCACCTCTGCCACGGAAGCTCTCTGGGTGACCTCAGGCCCATCACAGACTCTCGGCCTGGCCTACTTCACAGGATTGTTGTTGTGAGAGGATGGAGGAGAGGAGAACACTATTCTGAGCCTGCTTTGAGTCTCAACTCTGGGGAGCAAAGGTAAAGGTGAAGGTTTCCCTTGCTCGAAAGCCAGTCGAATCCGACTCTAGGGATGCGGTGCTCATCTCCGTTTCCAAGCCGAAGAGCCAGCGCTGTCCAAAGACGTTTCCGTGGTCATGTGGCTGGCATGACTAGACGCTGAGGCGCATGGAACGCTGTTGCCTCCCCACCAAAGCGGTCCCTGTTTATCTACTTGCAGTTTCATGCTTTCGAACTGCTTGGTTGGCAGGAGCCGGGGCCAGAGACGGGAGCTCGCTCCGTCAGGTGGCATTCGGGTCTCGAACTGCCAAACTACAGACCTTCCGGTCTGCAGCTGAGTGTCTTAACCTCTGATCCACTGCAGGGAGCAAAGTAGGATATAAATAGGTAAAGGTAAAGGTTCCCTTGCGCGAAAGCCAGTCGAATCCGACTCTAGGGATGCGGTGCTCATCTCCGTTTCCAAGCCGAAGAGCCAGCGCTGTCCGAAGACGTTTCCGTGGTCATGTGGCCGGCATGACTAAACACCAAGGAGAACGGAACGCTGTTACCTTCCCACCGAAGTGGTCCCTATTTATCTACTTGCAATTTCTTGCTTTCGAACTGCTAGGTTGGCAGGAGCTGGAACTAGAGACAGGAGCTCACCCCGTCTTGCGGCACCCGGGGCTTGAACTGCTGAACTACTGACCTTCCACAGCCTGCAGTACAGCGTCTTAACCACTTGAGCCACCGCAGCTCCTTAGGATATAAATACATCAATGTAAATGCATGTGTACAGTGAGCAGAAAGAAGTGATCCGGCATTCTAGATTTGTACCGTTTCAGGCTACAGGTTGTTGCGTTCCTCCCTGTCTTTTAATAAAGCCTCCCTGCACGTAGAAATCTAACAAGTCAAGAAGGAAGGGTTCTGCCCCACTGACATACTGTTTTTCTACACGCAGAGGATTCCCCTCCTTCAGAGAGTGCTCAAATTTTATTTTATTTTTGCAGTCAAGTTGTAGCCAACCTCTGGCCACCCTGTAGGGTTTTCCAGGCAAGAGATGAACAGAGGTGGTTTGCCGTTCCCTGCCTCTGTGTAACAGCCCTAGGCTTCCTCGGTGGTCTCCCATCTAAGTCCTAACCAGGGCCGACCCTGCTTAGCTCCCGAGATCTGACGAGATCAGGCTAGCCTGGGCCATCCAGGTCAGGACTAGCTTTTAAATGGGACTGCATACATCCTGGAGCGACTCCGTTCTAAGAGCAGTGCACTGCATTTATTAGCTTGCACTTTATTACCATCTGTCTCTGCGGAGCTGGTGGATTGCTGGAATATCAGAGCGACAAAATTTATTCTGGGTTGGCCAGCTGTCATTGATTTGTCATTGGGGCAGCCCTTAAAAATGGTGATCTAACAAGCTGAAGACCGAATTCCTTCTCTTCCTTATATGTTAGGAGGGTGGCCTCTCTCTACCCCCCCCCCTGTTTTGTTATATTAGGTAAAGGTAAACGTTTTCTCTTGCTCGAAAGCCAGTCAAATCCGACTCTAGGGTGTGGTGCTCATCTTCATTTCCAAGCCGAAGAGCCAGCGCTGTCCGAAGACATTTCTGTGGCCATGTGGCCAGCGTGACTAGACGCCGAGGCGCACAGAACGCTGTTACCTTCCCACCGAAGTGGTACCTATTTATCTACTTGCAGTTTCTTGCTTTCGAACAGCTAGGTTGGCAGGAGCCGGGGCCAGAGAAGGGAGCTCACTCCGTCACACGGCACTCAGGTCTCGAACTGCTGAACTACCGACCTTCTGGTCTGCAGCTCAGTATCTTAACTTCTAAGCCACCGGAGCCCCCCCTTAAAAGGCCGTTTCATTGCTTCCCCCCGCCCACCCTTGCTGCCACCTAATTGCACTTTTAATTCACGTTTATAGTCAGTGTCTAGACAAGTCTGCGAGTCTCCCTTCGGTTCCCCAGAGATTCTTCGAAGAAACGGAGGCCGCTTCCTCATGGGGGAAATCTTGAGCCCTCCTTTCCAAAACGCCACCTTCGAATGGCGTCCTTTCGAGAGGGCTTGAGGGATTTCTCCGTTTAAACACACGTTTTCCTCCGAGGGCCATCTCTCTTGGAGAAATCCATGGGAACAATGGACCGTGCCTTCAGTATGCCTTGAAGTGGGGTGGCTAAGAGGTTCCCAGATTCCCGACTACCACGCCTCCTCTCCTGGCTGCACTCCCAGCCTTCCCCTGCTTGCTTGTGACTGCCCTGTCCTCTAGCCCTGTGTGCTGCTCAGCGTGTCTGGAGAAGGGCGTGTGGGTGGTGCGCAAGGCATCAGCGTTTGGGGGGGGGGGGGCACTGGCTCTCCGGGCTGCACAGCCGGGATTTTGTGACTTTTGAGGCAGAAAAATTTCCAGTGGGCCTGGTGGGGCTGCCCTTATTTTTATGTCGGGAACCCAAACAAAACATCCGTGACAAAAATAACGAAAAGTCAATAAAGATAATATGCAAGATTGTTTACTATAATAATTCTGTCGAAAAACCCCCTTCTGATGTCGCTCACACGCAGCGGATTCTGCGCAATGTAAAAAATATATCCGTTTCACAGGATTGCTTTATCTGAGCGTGGAGCAATTACAATTCTTGCCAATCTCCACTTACCAGCTCTTGAAGGAGACATCCCACAGTCGTGAAGACCTTGAGTTCTGATATCAGAGAGTCCACATGGGTGCCTGGCCCCCAATAGCCCAGTTGTAGCTAGGGGGCAGGCACCCGCCCTGCAGCATGATCAGGGAGAGGGTGAACAAGCAGGGTGGGCATCTACGACTGCAGGGGGTGGGATAGCCGCCCTCAGCCTGCTCCGGCGGGGAGGGCGGGGTATAAATCGAACAACTAAATAAATAATAATAAATACATTATTAATAGTAATAATAATAATAATAAATAATTTGTGAGTGGGTAGAAGAATGGTGTACAAGGAAGTGGGGGCCGTGGTAGTTGGGGGGGGCCTGGATACTGTCTGTCCAGGGCTCCCCCCAAATGTGTAATCAGCCCTGCAGTTTCAGTAAAGACAAAAGACACAATCTGTCGGGACATTTGCCTGTGTGAGAACTCATTTCACTGAGGCCGACACGCAAAAGCTTCCTGATGGCTTTGTGTAATTACTCACACATCTTTTATCTGTTATCTCGATTCGAGTCCAGTAGCACCTTAACCACCAATGAGATATTTGAGGTATAAGCACGCTTTGACTCTCGAAGGTTTATACCCCGGGAATCTCGTTGGTCTGACAAAGGGAGTATTTTGACTCATGAAAGCTCACCCTCCCGGAAATCTTGCTGGCCCCGAAGGCGCTACAGGACGCGGATCTAGCTGTTCCCCTGCAGACCGACACGGCTCGCCTCGGCCACTGTCTTTATCGATTCTCATCCATTTTATTTACCTCACGGAGACGTGCGTTTTTTCCACAGCTATTCAATTTCTACCCGTTTCTTGGGTTCTTCCTCAAACCCCACAAGATGATCCTGAGGAAAGTCGAAGAGGTCCGTGTCATCCTAAGGAAGCACATCCAGGCTACCAAGGAAACGATCAATGCAAACTACTTGCGCAGCTACACTGATGCTTTGCTCTTCAGGCAGCAAGAGGTAATTTTTAATTTTTTTATTTCTTTTAGCCTACTTGTCAGAACTGGTGGTGGGTGAATTTATAAGGGCAGAGCAAAACAGCTCCCCAGACGCCGCGCCTCGACCCGCCCTTACGGGGTTCGCTATGCAGAATTTTTTAAAAGATCGGTCGTCGATTCCAAGAATTGTTCAAACAATATACCATAAGAGAATCACTCTGCTGGGCTTCTCAATACGCCACTAAGGCAATAAGAAGGAGGAGAGGAAACCGTCAGGGTCTTTGTTGTGCCTCCTGGACAGAGGAAGAAGCACCCTCCCCCAAAAAACCCTGATAATATCTGGTTGCCAAATGTGACAATCGAATCCCATTTCTAGAAGGAGGTATTTTTATCCATTGTGACCACGCCCCTACGGAGAAAACAGCAGTCCAGCTTTTAGTGGTGGGAAGATCTTGAGGTCAGTGGAGAGGAGATTTGAACCATCTGCCCACCAGCTGTGGTTGAGCGTGGCTAATTTGTCATATTTTTGATGAATGCTGTAAATAGCCTTGTGGGCCGTATCGGGTGGAAAGGTGGGGTAAAAAAGCCTCGATAAGATAGCATGACCGTGAGAAAGCCTGCTATCATCTGGGCTCCAGGAGAGAATAATCTTTTCCTCCTGTGCTCTTTCTAGAAGAAGTCAGAAACTGGTAACTGTAACCACTGCAGAACAGCGAGATTCGAACCCAGCAGCACCGTAGAGACTAACAAGATTTTCAGGGGATGAGCTTTCAAGAGTCCAAGCTCCCTTCATCAGATACAAGTAGGAATGAAGATCCCCGAGCCCTTATACCCCAGTCAGAAGGTGGAGAGGTGGAGGGGTGTTGCCAAGAAGGGAGTCAGGGTATAAAAGCTCTGGGATCTCCATTCCTACTCATATCTGACGAAGTGACCTCTGACTCTCGAAAACTCCTACCCAAAAGACGTTGTTGGTCTCTAAGGAGCTAGTGGACTCGAACCTAGCTGTTCTACCACAGACCAACATGGCTCCCCTCTGAAAATAACCATAGTTATTATCAGGGGTCGTTTCGTAGAAAAAGAGCTAGGGGAACTCATTAGCATAACTCATTAGCATATGCCACACCCCCTGACATCACCGGAAGTGTGTCATAAGGCCACACCCCCTGACATCACCGGAGGTGTGTCATAAGGCCACACACCCCGCCCCCAACGGTCCCGGCCGCCGGCGCCGGCCTTGCAGCTCCACTTACCCTCCCTCTTCTCCTGCCTCCTCCTGGCTGAATGAGGGCCGGAAGCGGGGTGGCCGGAAGCAGGGGGCTTTGTTATGTGCCCCGCCCCCCGTACCTCACCCGGGGGAACTGCGATCCCCCGCGATCCCCCCCGAAATGACCTCTGGTTATTATTAAAAATCCCTTTTTGAAAGGAATTGTGCGACTGCTGCTCTTAAAGGGGAAAAAGCAGTCCAATACAACAGGCATTGGCACCGATCCGAAACCTAAACTCCTGGTCTCTAAACTGAGTTCTCCTGTTTTAGTTCCAAACGGGAACATCTGTGGGTCCTGATGAGGTCCACGGGGCTCCCTATCACAGCTCCGTCCAAATCCTGACTGCACCCTCCCGCCCCCAAATTGAGAATCTAGTTTGGTGTAGTGGTTTGGTGTAGTGGCTAAGTGCGTGGACTCTAATCTGGGAGAACCGGGTTTGATTCCCCCCTCCTCCACTTGCAGCTGCTGGATGACCGGGGCAAGCCGTAGTTCTCTCAGAGCTGTTCTTGAAAAAGAGCAGTTTCTGTCAAGAGCTCTCTCAGCCCCACCTACCTCACAGGGTGTCTGTTGTGGGGAGGGGAGGGGAAAGGAGTTTGTAAGCTGCTCTGAGACTCCTTTGGGTAGTGAAGGGTGGGGTATAAATCCAATCTCCTCCTCCTCCTCTTCTTCTTCTTCCCCAAGTTGTGGTCAGCTTTTTACCCCCCAATTCCAGCTCCCTTTTCCCTGATCCTGTCCATCTGACAGCAGTTACATTGGCGGGACTGGAACAGGCCTAAAAGGTTACTGTAATATATATGGGGCATCTACTGAACAAGCAGAGTATAATTCTCCTGGAGTGTCTCCATGCCCTTCTCCTGCTGAAAAATGGAAGACGGACGTGGGAAACGGGGCCCTCTACCCAGGTGCTTAACCGTGCCACTCCTTGATGCCGGCCCTGTCGATTGCCCGCCTGATTGCAAACCCCAAGGCTCATACAGACGCTTCTCGTTCGAAGGAGACGAACAATGCCGCAAGCACGTTCCATGACGAGAACATCCTGGCGTCGGTGCTCGACCTCGTCATGGCTGGGACCGAGACGACGGCCACCACGCTGCAGTGGTCCGTGTTGCTGATGATGAAGTATCCCGAGATTCAACGTAAGCAGCCGTGTTCCTTTGCCAGGTTTATACTCATTTGGCGCCATTTCGAAGGTTGTTTCTCCCCACTTACCTTGAGGCGAGTCCCCGTCTCGGAGACCAACAAGATTTTGAGGAGGATGAGCTTTTGAGTCAGTGGGGTCCCTTTGTCAGGTACAAGCAGGAATGGAGATCCCTGAGCTTTTATACCCCAGTCAGAAGGTTGGGAGGGGTGTTGCAAAGAAGACGGTCAGGAAGCAGAGGTACACAGTGCGAATCGTAATCAGCTTGATTACAGCAGGCGAGAAATTCTTAGGGGCAGAAAGATAACATCAGTAGTGGTCTGTAAAAAAGACATATCAGGGGGTTCCAGATCTAATCAAGCCTGGACTCTCCCTAGAAGCTAAAACTGAGGCTATATGTTGTCGAAGGCTTTTATGGCCGGAGTTCATTAGCTGTTGTAGATTTTCCAGGCTGTGTGGCCGTGGTCTTGGCACTGTAGGACTTTGACGTTTTGTCAGTAGCTGTGACTGGCATCCTCAGAGGTACTCTCTGTGTTAAGGTGAGAAGAAAAATGGTAGGCAGGTAATTTATATCTACTCTGGAAGGTGGGGTAGGGCTGAGTCATTATCTTGTAGGAGTTCCCCAGGAAACAGGAAATCTCCTCAGGAAACAATCCATACACAAAAGAACCTCTTCAGGAAAGCTCCTCCATTAGCATGTTCATAGCCAGGGGAACTCCTACAAGATAAAAGAATGGATAAAAGGAAGTACTTCTTCACCCAAAGAGTGATTAACACTTGGAATTCACTGCCACAGGAAGTGGTGGCGGCTACAAGCATGGACGGCTTCAAAAGGGAATTAGATAAGCATATGGAGCAGAGGTCCATCAGTGGCTCTTAGCCACCAGGTATAGATAGGGGCTCTGGGGCAAGGGATTCTCTGTCTTCTTGGTGCTTGGGGGGTTCAACAGTGGGAGGGCTTCTAATGTCCTGGTCCCACCCCTGGACCTCCTGCTGGCACCTGGTATTTCTGGCCACTGTGTGATTCAGAGTGTTGGACTGGATGGGCCTTTGGCCTGATCCAACATTGGCATCCCTTATGTTCTTATGTTCGTATAAGATAATGACTCGGCCCTACCCCACCTTCCTGAATAGATGTAAATTACCTGCCTACCATTTTCTTCTCACCTTGACACAGAGAGTCCTCCATCTTTCTGTGTTATACCTCTGAGGATGCCAGTCACAGTTACTGGCGAAATGTCAGGTTCTACAATGCCAAGACCACGGCCATACAACCCGGAAAATCTACAGCAACTAATAAACTGAGGCTGTTATACTTTGGTCACATTATGAGAAGGCAAGACTCGCTGGAAAAGACAATAATGCTAGGAAAAGTGGAAGGCAACGAGAAAAGTAGCCACGGCCCTTAGTTTGCAAGACCCAAGCAAGTTAATGATAGAACACTTTGAAGGTCAAATCAAATCAAATCAGATTTATTATTACAGTTCGTGACCAGCACAAGGTGATCAGTTACAACAATGTACACGAATATAATAAGTTTTAGGAAATACACAATATTTAAAATTACTGAATGGCCTATGCATTCTTAAAATCACAGAACTGATTGAACAAAACATCTACATTTTACGGTTCAACTACATTCTGTGTTAATTCCCTGCAATTTCTGCATGATGCTGCAAGAAATCTGGCACAGGGAAGGGTGCGCTGAGGATTTGTGTCTGAAAGGAACTTCCTCGTAATTTCAGATTCAGACCAGGCAGAAAACCTCCCAAGCAAGGGTGCAATAATCTTTGCGTGGATTTCCTGGTAGAAACGGCAGTAACAGAATGACACTCAATCTGGAAAAGAAAAAAGAAGTGCTAATGTAGCATTTTTTTGAATTTTTCTGAAAATTTCCACTTCCCCCCCCAAAAAAAACCCCGGGGTTTTTTCCGAGCTTCAAAATTTCTGGAAATTTTACATCTCTAGTTAGTCCATTGTCACAAAGTAAAGCAAAAGGTCAGCGGGCACCTTCAGGACTTGCAACGTTTATTTCATTACGAGCCTTTGTGAATCACAGGCTACGTCGTCAGATACTTGGAAATCGGACTAAGAATCGGACCTGGATTCCCAAGTTCTGGGATTCCCGGTTTGATTTCCATGTATCTGGAGGAAGCGAGCTGTGATTCACGAAAGCTCACGTTGAAATAAATGATGTTAGTCTTAGAATCATAGAGTTGGAAGGGATCTCCAGGGTCATCTAGCCCAACCCCCTGCACAGTGCAGGAAATTCACAAATACCTTCCCCTCCACACCTGTAGTGACCGCTGTTCCACACCCAGAAGATGGCAAAAAACCTCCGGGATCCCTGGCCAAACTGAAGGCAGCCACTGGAATATTGTTTTATAATAAGATGCCCCGAGGACTACATTTCCCAGCATGCACCTTACTTCAGATTCTGGGAAATGTTGCCTGAGGAGCAGGGGTGAGAGAGGGTGAGCAAGGGTAAGAAGGAGAGGTTCTGGCCAACTTTCTCACACCTGCCCCCTCTCTTTAGAACGTTCCTGTGCCAATAATCAGGCCTTTCAAAGGTTGCGTGGTTGGACAGGAAGGATAAAATCCCTTTCGCTGTTGCAGGCAAGGTCCAGGAGGAAATCAAGACGGTCCTGGAACAGGGGCACCTGCCGACCTTGGATGACAAGAAGCGCCTGCCCTTTTCCAACGCGGTGATCCACGAGGTGCAACGGTTCGTCACTCTCCTCCCGCACGTGCCGCGCTCCACCGCCGTGGACACGCACTTCCACGGCTATTTCATCCCCAAGGTATGAGGTGGGACCCACAGTGGGAGGGAGGGCCAGGCGCACCTCCCAGGGGCTGCCACTGAAAAGGCCCTGTGTTTTCAGTACTTCAGGGTACAGCCTTATTGGGTTTTCTCATCCCGGCCCCTTGCCGACATCGTTCTGTTTGCATCTTAAGGGTATGACCGTGATCCCTTCGCTCACCTCGGTGCTCCTTGACAAAACTCAGTGGGAGACTCCCGACCAGTTTAACCCCAACCACTTTTTGGATGCAGACGGCAACTTTGTGATGAAAGAAGCGTTTCTCCCTTTTTCTACAGGTAACCAGAGTTCTCCCCATGGCACAAGAGAGGCACCTCGTAGGGCAGGGCGAGTGGGTTCCACCTGAGTTGCTGGTTCATCCCAGCCAACCATTTTTAAAAACAAAATTTCTTTTAAATCAGTGAAATGAAAGCTTCTATTTAAAATGAAAGCTTGTGGGAGAGATTTACATAAATAGAACAGAAGCAGCTTGTTATGTCCTGCAAAAAAACAAACACAAACAGGAATCCAAGCTCCGCCCACCTGACCCTCCCAGCTCCGCCCACCAATGATTCCCATTGGTGGGTTTTCCAGGGTCAGTCTCACACTTCTAATGCTCACGAAACCCTAAAAATCTCCCTGTAGCTGTTACAAATTGGCATGGCAGATCCCTACGAAGGAGGCAGGCATAAGTTAGGGAGGTTATTATTTCATGGCCGAAGAATGTAGAAGGTTCCAGACGTAAGAGAGCCAGCTTGGTGTAGTGGTTAGGCGTGCGGACTCTAATCTGGGAGAGCCGGGTTTGATTCCCCACTCCTCCACTTGCACCTGGCTGGATGGCCTTGGGCAAGCCATAGTTCTGATAAGAGCTGTCCTTGAAGAAGAGCAGCTTCTGTCAAAGCTCTTTCAGCCACACCTATCTCACAGGATGTGGGGAGGGGAAGGGAAAGGAGATTGTAACCAGGGCCGGCTAGAGGTGTTTCTGCGCCCTAGGCGAGGCTGCCTTATGGTGCAGATGCCAACCTCCCGGTGGGGCCTGGAGACCTGGAGACCACTGGAGCCAGCCACCCTTTTGCTGCTGCCACCACTGCCTCCCCCCCCCCCGCAGCCACCACCAAAGGGGGGGAGGAGGGGGGAGGCACAGCTTGGCGCCCCATCCAGGGCCCAGCGCTCTAGGCGAATGCCTAGTTGGCCTAGTGGGTGAGCCGGCCCTGATTGTAACCCACTCTGAGACTGCGAGTGAAGGGCGGGGTATAAATCCAATCTCTTCTTCTTCTTCTTTTTCTAATTCACTTTACCCATTTTTTGATGTTTAGCGGTTCGTGAACCCTAAAACACACAGAGACAACGTGGGCTTAGCGGAAGGGTTATCTGTTTGTTACTTTCGAGCCCCTGCTTGGCAACCTCTCCTTTGCAGATGTAAGGCGCAGTCACACTGTATGCAACAGAATCAGGCCTAGTTTGTGCTCCGACAAGCCTGGGACCCAAATCCTGAGAGGAAAACTGGGATGGCATCTGGGCATTCTAGCTGAGCCTTTCACGGGTTTGGGGAATCTTACTGTGCGGTGTTAGTATTCTTTTAAGTCGCCTCGAACCACCAGGCAGGGTGGAAATGTTTTAATAAAAAACAAAAACAAATTAATAAATATCAGGGAAACTTAACACTTTCCTAGTGCTTTCGGTATTCAAAATGATCCGTGGGATATCAGTTTGCACACCCCACAACAGCCGTGTAAGGTGACAGTCAGTAGTGATATCCCTGTCCTGCCAGTGAAGACAGAGAGAGGGAGAAATGTCTGTAAGTCCAGCTAGTGAGTCTTGGGACAGCCATGAGATTTGAATCCAGGATCCCTTGAATCACTCGGGTTGCCAGATGTAGGTTGGGAAGTACTTGGAGATTTGGCAGGGGTGGAGATTAGGGAGGGTCCTCAGTAGGGGACAGTGCCATATAGAGATGTAAAATTTCCGGAAATTTTGAAGCTCGGGGAAAAAACCATTTGGGGGGGGGGGGAAACGGACATTTTCAGAAAAATTGGAAAAAATGCTACATTAGCACTTCTTTTTTCTTTTCCAGATTGAGAGTCATTCTGTTACTTTAGGAACATAAAATATGACTATGCAACATTTTTCCTTGGCATGAAATTATCACAACTAGCATATTAAAAATATAGCGTATCCAAACAATTATTACAAACAGAATACCCACCCACATGCAAAAACAAAACTGAAACCTTTTTTTCTTTTCTTGTGACAACAGCACCTCCTATAGGGAGAAATGCATCTTGTTCTTGCATTGGAGAGTTCAGTTTATAACCTAGGACTTGCTTGTCCTCAGTGCACAGAAATTAGATCAATCTGATACCATACATATTTTTTAGAAATGATTTGGAAAATATTTGAACACCTTGTCTCAAAATATTTTATTCATCTTGTTAAAATAAAATGTTCCATAATCATTTTTTTTTTCTTTTTTCAATTTTTCCAATTTTATGGGAAAAACAAAAAAGGCTTCAGGAAAAAACCGGAAAAAACCCTGGTTTTTCCCGAATTTTCCCAGTTTTTTTCCAGGCCTTCACATCTCTAGTGCCATAGAGTCCACCCTCCAAAGCAGCCATTTTCTCCAGGGAGTCTGATCTTGGTCATCCAGAGAGCAATTGTAATAGCAGGAGATCTCCAGGCCCCACCTGGAGGCTGGCAACCCTAGGCCTGGGGAGGGCATGGTTTGAGGATAGGGAGGATCTCGGAGGGGTATAACACCATAGAGTCCACCCTCCAAAGCAGCCATTTTCTTCGGGGGGGGGACTGATCTCTGTAGTCTAGAGATCTGTCGTACTTTCAGGTGATCTCCAGGCCCCACCTGGAGGCTGGCAACCCTAGGAACCACAGCACATTTCTCACAGCTGATACGCCTACTCTGTGACAACTACTGATGCACTGATTTGCGCTGAGGCTCAGTGGGGGATCACAAAGCCAGATAAATGCAGTGGGTTCTTTGGCTCTGGCTTCTATTACCCGCTAAACCACTTTTCCTAAAAGTTCTGTGCTTGGGGCTGGTGGGGGGGGGCGTTGTTTGCAGGCCGCCGGAACTGCCTGGGTGAGAGTCTGGCCAAGATGGAGCTCTTCCTCTTCTTTGTGGACCTGTTCCAGAGGTTTTCCTTCCACCCCCCTCCGGGATCCACGGAGTCTGACTTGGACACGGTCGCCGTGCCGGGATTCACCATGCGTCCCCGGGCACAGACGACCTGCGCCGTGCCCTACGAATAAGACCCGCGGATCAAAGGGACATCATTTGCACATATCGATGTTTTGCTGAGACGAGAGAGAGAGAGAGAGAGAGAGAGACACCCTCTGCTTGTGAACCGGGGGATTCTGGGGTGGGTGTCCTACCACAACCCCCCCCTCTTTGCTTCACTCCTTCGGGTTGTTTACAGGCTGTGATAGTGTTGCTTTATGGGACTGTAAACCAGGGGTCCCCAACGCGGTGCCCGTGGGCACCATGCCCTACACCAACACTTTTCCTGGCACTCGCCAAATGTTTATAGAAAGTGGGCAGGGCCAACTGTGGGTTTTCCCAAGCAAGGCTTCTGATTGGCAGTGCAGATTTTTTTACAAGGTATTTTTTTGTCAGCAGCTGCCTCCACAGACCAAGGATCTTCGCTGTGTGATTGAAGGTCAGCTGCGGCAGCCATTTTGTGGCTGGTTCCAGCTCCCGCGGCAGCCATTTTGTGGCTGTGCCCACCACACAATTCCACAGGTGCCCACAGGCTCAAAAGCGTTGGGGATCCCTGCTGTAAATTCAACAGAGACGACAGTCCCGCTGTGTCTTTTCTGTCTCTGCCCCTTAGACCTGGAAGCGGCTTCTGTAAAATGTGTGTTTCAGCTTCACCAGATGAATTCTCACCCCAGGAAGTCCGGCTGCACGTAGGAGCTCATGTGGGTGAATTCTCATCCCCGCAAAGAGATTCCTTCTGAACAGAGAAATAACGTTTGTAGAGCCAGCTCGGGGTAGGAACTGGGAAACCAGGGTTCAGATCCTCACGCTGCTGGGGTAAGTTTGGGCCTCTCTCAGCATCGCCCTACCTCATAGGGTTGTTGTGAGGACCCAGCGGGTCGAAAGCTAATTAATATCTAATGCAAGTAGACGAATGGGTACCTACCCTTAGACGGGTAGGGGGCACCCACCTCTGTCGAAGGAGGCATGGTCGAAAAATGTGGATGGTGTGGTGATGCGGATGGCAACAGACGACGGCGTGACATCGGCGGCGGCGGCACTGGTGGAGTGGAGCGGAGCGGAGCGATCCCTGGTGGCCAGAGGGAAATACTGAGCGACAGCGGCGGCAGCAGCAGAGACCTGAGGCGCACGTCAATGACGCAGGCACGGCGGTGCCTGACGGACAGAGCCGGCCAGCGTACATGAAAGCCGTGCGCCTGCGTGGTGCTGCTGTGATTGCCGGAGGAGTGTCGTGAGCCAGGAGGGGACGCCGCGCCGTGCTGGCTCAGCAGCCGAGGAAAAAGAACTGTGTCAACCTAGCCGCAAGCAAGGGGGAAAGAACGAACAGACGCCGAGCCGAGCCAAGGATGCAGAAGAAAGCATATTCCACCGAGGGTGCTGATAGGTAGTCCCACCCCCAACTTTCGATGTGGCCCAAGATAGGAAAAATCAGTTCTTAGAACGACAAAATGTGAACCGCCCAGAGACCCCTTCGGGGGTTAGGGCGGGATATCAAGTCTAAGGTAATAAATAAATAAAAAATAAATAAATAAAAAGGAGGAAGGGAAAAGCACGGAAGGACAGAGTAAAAAAACCACTAGATAGATAGCTTGTCAGGGATTAGATGCCCAGTCTTCACCCTGGCAGGCTACTTTTCTGCGTACGGGGGGGGGGGGTTTTCATGGGAGACTGGTCAATCACATTTTTTTGGGGGGGGTTTATATGGAAGCAAGATCAATCACATGGACCCCCAACCTACCACCTGATATGACACAGTCCAGAATCAACTCAACCTTTTCCTCCACCCTCAACTGAAACGAAGCTGAAATTAGCCTTGCCAAAAAGTTTACTAAAGTTGCCAGTCCACTTTTTAAGGAGCCATTTTGGTGTTGTGGTTAAGATGGGCGGACTCTAATCTGAAGAACTGGGTTTGATTCCCCACTTCCACATGCAGCCAGCTGTATTCATTTATGGGTTCTTTAATGGCACTTAAACATTGTATACACAAGAAGAAATCACACGGGAAATGCATTAATGTTAACAGGGGGGAAATATACCCAGAATTGAAAGCGGTGTGGAAAGAAAGGCTTGTGGGTTTGATGGGGGAGGCGGGTTATGGAATTGGTGATGACACTTCATGCAAAAATGAAGTGAAATATTTTTTTCACTTTGTGCACATTTTCCTAACCTCTCTGCAAGCGGGAAACGGCCGGCATGCATTCAGGAGGAAAGAAACTCCCCCTGTCGTCAGATACAAAGTCCTCCTGTTATCCTTCAACAAACACAAAAGATTTGAAGCTTGCGGATTGGCCCCAAAATGATATTTTAATCAATATAAGTCCTGCTAAGGTGCTTTGGAAGTCAGTTCTTTTGGGGAGGTCAAAAGCAGGGTTTTGAAAAACCCAAATAGCGTAAGGGCGGGGCACCATAATGTAGCCTTTCTGAACAAAAACTTCGGTGCTGTCTCTAAATATAAGGACCTGTTGTATGCAATCTATATCGCATGGCGCTCTTGTGTATTTCCCAAATAAATAATGGATATTTGTCTCCTGACAGAAGCCCCGTTTTTCTGTGCACGCAAGCCAAATCATTCTGGGGTTTTTCTCCAATGGTTCGGGAACGATATTCGTGAAATAAGTTGGTTCGGGGAGAGAGGAGGTTTTCCCCCACTAAAGGAGTAATGCCTGGTTCTGACCCACCCAGCTCATGGGCAAGGCGGCATTAAAAATGAGAAATATGGTGCCTTCCATAAAGAGAGTTCAAGGAGGTAGTTCTGCAGTAAAGGTAAAAGGTAAAGGTTCCCCTTGCTCGAAAGCCAGTCGAATCCGACTCTAGGGGGCAGTGCTCATATCCATTTCCAAGCCTAAGAGCCAGCGCTGTCCGAAGAGGTTTCCGTGGTCATGTGGCCGGCATGACTAAACACCAAGGCGCACGGAACGCTGTTACCTTCTCACTGAAGTGGTACCCATTTATCTACTTGCACTTTCTTGCTTTCGAATTCCTAGGTTGGCAGGAGCTGGGGCCAGAGACGGGAGCTCACTCCATCATGCGGCACCCGGGTCTCGAACTGCCGAACTACCAACCTTCCAGTCTGCAACTCAGTGTCTTAAGTTCTGCAGTAGAAGAGCTCAATTCAAGTCCAGTAGCACCTTTGATATGAACAAGATTTTCAGGGTATGAGTTTTCGAGGGTTCAGAGCCCCCCTTTGTCAGATACAAGTAGGAATGGAGATCCCTGAGTCCTCCTATCCCAGTCAGAAGGCTGGGCGGGGTGCTGCAAAGAATGGATCAAGGGAGGGAGGCTATCGGGGCTTAGGGATCGCAGTTCCTACTCCTGTCTGACGAAGGGAGCTTTGACTTTCAAAAGCGCGTACCCTGAAAGCCAGTTTGGTGTAGTGGTTAAGAGCGTGGACTCTAATCTGGGAGAACTGGGTTTGATTCCCCGGTCCTTCACATGCAGTTGCTGGTGTGACCTTGGGTCAATCACAAGTTCTCTCCAGAGCAGTTTCTCTCAGTGCTCTCTCAGCCCCGCCTACCTCACAGGGTGTCTGTTGTGGGGAAGGGAAAGGCGATTGTAAGCTGCTCTGAGACTCAGAGCAAAGGGCGGGATGAAAATCTTTTTCCTTTTCTTGGCCTCTAAGGCACTGCTAGATTTGAATGTAGCTCGTTAAACCAGCAACAACTGTATTGTGGAATTAAGTGTAAAATTCTGAGTTTTGCTTTGCCTCCACTTTGTAAGAGTTCATATTCTGGGCTTTTTGTCTAATAGATTCAAGTTTGAAAAATCACAGCTGACATATGAAGGGAAGGGAATATGGTTATATACATCAGTAGCGGTTCAAGTGTCACACCGGGATCTGGGAAACCCGGGTTCGAATTCTGACTCATGCCATGGAAGCTCGCTGGGTACACTTGGGCCAGTCACACCCTCTCAGCCTAGCCTACCTCACAGGGCTGTTGTGAGGATAAAATGGAGGAGAGGAGACTTGATGTAACTACCGCTTTGGGTCATCATTGGGGTGGAAGGTGGACATAAATAAATAAAATAAATTAGTCAGGGCACAGAGATGCGTGCTTACACAAAATACACTTTGGGCTTGTGTTTCTCAAAGCAGAACTCCCTGCGGGGCTGACCTTGAACTGGTCATTCCCCTCCACCATCCAAAATTAGCATATTATAGCCCACTTCTTTTTTAGAAGAAGAAGAGATTGGATTTATACCCCACCCTTCACTACCCGAAGGAGTCTCAGCGTGGCTTACCATCTCCTTTCCCTTCCCCTCCCCACAACAGACACCCTGTGAGCAATGCTCCCTCTAAGCTGTGGAGAGTCTTGTGAGCAAAAATTCTACTTTGTGAGCTCCTGGCATTAAAGTTGTGAGCGAGCGATTTGGCTACTGCATAAATTAGTCTGCTCTGGAGCCATCCTGCCTGAGCTGAGACAAAAATGTGTGAGCCGGAGGCTAAAAAACGGTGAGCAGGCTCACACTAACTCAGCTTAGAGGGAACAGTGGCTGTGAGGTGGGTGGGGCTGAGAGAGCTCTTTCGAGAACTGCCCTTGAGAGAACAGCTCTGAGAGAACTTGTGCCTGGCCCAAGGTCACACCAGCAGCTGCATGTGGAGGAGTGGGGAATCAAACCCAGTTCTTCTGGATTAAGAGTCCGCACTCCTCACCACTACACCAAACTGGCGTTGGTAAAAGAGTTGGTGAGATGGGGGGGGGGGGGGGTGACAGGAGTGGACGGACTCCAGTCTGTCAAATCCAAAAGACTGAAAATCGAACACACGAAGGGACCAATTTCCCCCAATCTCAGAGGCCATCTAGCGTCCAAGCAGCCTAATTGCAGCAGGGGGTTCCCCTCCCCCATCCACTTCATCGCACAATCATTTCTGTCTCCTGCCCTCTACTGCCTGCATGAGGCCAGTTCCCCAAGCCTTTCACCAGCCAGCCAGTAGTTCGTGCAACACGGGCCAATCTCCCTCCAAAGCATTCAGATGAAGGCCAAATTCCAAAGGGTTGGGAGTGTCGGGTGGAGCTCGTAGGAAGAACCGAAT